TGTTCTGTTTACAAGCTACATGTACCCCTTAATAAGGAAGAATTTGCCTGAACCAAGACTGGTTGCGTGAGAATGCTTCAGAACTGAGAGTTGGACATCGTGGACTTGACACTGACATGCAGGCCCAGTCAGAAGCATTTGGTTAAAAATATAGGGAAGGGGAACAAAATAGTAGAATTGGAGGAGATGCTATAGACCACTAAGCCAGGCAGAAGATCTAAATACTGCCCTCTTGGACTAGGTAGGAGATACATAATAGTGGGGGACATCAACTATCTGGACATCTGTTGAAAAAGAAAGACAAGAACTGAGAATTCCTCACTGGTCTTGCTGACTGCTTCATTTTCCAGAATGCTGATGGTGAGTCAAGGGGGGATCCTGACCAATTGCAAGTGCTGAAGAGGTAAAAGCAAGGGGAGCTTTGGGAGGAAGTTAAGATGCTACAGGAAGGGCAATTATAACATTGTCATACATGCACACTAGATTTAAGGACAGCCATTTTCAACAATTTAAAGAAATACTATCCCATGGAAATAAATTTTCAGGTCCAAAGGGATGCAGGAGGGTTGGGAATTCTCAAAAATAAGTTACACACCATTCCATTGAGGAACAAAAATAGGGCAGCTTACAAAATCCTTGTGGAAGCATTTTCAACTGAACTAAGAGTTAGAAGGAATTTGGATAGGAAGTGGAAGATGGGTGCAATCAGCAAGGATTTGCCAGCAAGTAGCTAATATCTGCTACCACTGGGAGAGGTCATCCACCAGCTTGAGGTAAGGTATCGTCAAAATGCAGATGATATCCACTTGTACATCTCCACCCCGGGCCCAAGGGGAGGCATGGCAGAAGTCCTGTCCCATGCCTGGAGGCTGCCAGGGTCTGGATGGGGAGAAACAGGCTCAGACTCAACCCAAGTGAGACGGAGAGGCTGTGACTTTAGAAGCCTTTGGATTCCAGGAATGGATCCTCTTTGACTCTTGGGGGGGTTTGCGATCTGAGGGTTTTCCTGGCTTCATTGCTCCTGCTCAAGGAGCAGGAGGACGCCATGGCCAAGAGGGCCTTTGCTCAACTTTGTTTGGTACACCAGTTCCAGCTGATCTGGAACGGGGTGCGCTGAAGACATTCTCTCATGCCCTTGTTATATCCCAAATAAAATATGTAATTTCATTTCCACAGGACTGCCCTTGAAGGTCACCCAGAATATTTAGCTGGACCAGAACCCAGTGACCCATGAGTTCACTGGCCAGTTATGGTACTGCCTTATAACACCACTGCTGTGGGAGTTGCACTGGCTGCTGGTGTGTTTTTGAGTGTAATTCAAGGTGCTGGTGGCTACCTTTAAAGCCTTCAATGGCTTGGGGCCTGTATAACTGAGAGACTCCCAAATAACCTCTGCCTGTCCAACCCAGATGGACAGCTAGTGCCTACTTAGGATCCCCATCTACTAGGCAGTGTGGTAGGAGGAGCCCAACATCAGGTGTTCTTGTGTAACTCCAATACAGAACAGCTTGCTCCCTAAGATGAGGATGGTGCCCATCCTGATGGCTTCCAGAAGGCCTTTGGGGACTGATTGTAGAGCCACAGGTGTCTATAGAGGTGTGTGTGTGTGTGTGTGTGTGTGGTTTCCTTATTATTTGATAGTGTTATTGTTTGTTCTTGAATTTTTAAAATGCAACTCTGTTTTATTGCTATTTTAATTTCTGTAAATTCCTTAGAGCCCATGAGGATTGAGGTGGTAAATAATTGCATAAATAAATAAGCAAACAACTGCACAAAGAAAGTTAGAAAGGCTAATGCATAAAAGGGGAAGCTAAAAGCAACTGAAAGGGCTTTTTTGGCTATGTCAGTTGTGAAATGAAGAAAAAAGAGGGACAGGTCTGCTGCTTAGAGAACATGATAGCATAGTAATTTATGTGTAGCTTCTGAGTAATCTCTGAGGGCAGCCCCATGTACAGCGTGTTACTGTAATCCATTGTAAGGTGACTAAAGTGTAAGTGACTGTTTGAAGGGCCTCCCACTCTGGGGAAGGGAACAACTGGCACATTAGATGTATCTATGCAAAGACCCATGTGGTCCCAGCTGCCACTTGCTCTTCAGTCAGGAACTGCAAGTCCAAGATAACCCCCTCAATTGCACACCAGTTCTGAGTGAGGAAGTGCAATCCCATCCAAGGCCAGTGGAGGAAAATCCCCAGACGCAGAGGGCCCAAATATCTGCAGCCACTCAGTTTTGTCACAATTGAACCCTTCTGTTTCACCCGAACCAGACCCAAACAGCCTCCAGATACTAGGGCAGGACTTCAACAGGATCACTTGGTTGTCCCAGGACCAGGATAGATAGCTGAATATCAACAGCATACTGATGATACTGGACCCTGAACACTTTACCCTTAGAAAATATCAACTATTATCCAACATCTAGTCAACCCCACTACTCTCTACCCAGCTTAACCCACAATGTCTTTTTCGCTTCCAGAGCTTCTACCAAGCAACTCATACAGGCATGTCTCTCAATCTGGGGAGCTGATTGCAATGATCCATCAAAGATGCCTCTGCACTCAATGCGAATGAACTCCTGACAGAATGAAAAGCCCTCAAAATTTCTGAGGTATACTTTCTGATGCAATTGTTCAAATAGTCACTAACAAGACCACAATTGTCTTTTATCTGAGCAATCCAGGGTGTATAAAATCCCAGACCTGTCTATTTCTTACCATGATATTGAACTAGACTTTATATTAGTGAACCATCTCAGCTGAACTTCTGTGATCATATATGAAGCACAACTAAATAATTGGACAAAGAATCAGCTTTTCCAGCCTTGGAAATATCCAATATTGTTTGTCACAAGGGAGTACTCAACTTGCACCCAGTGCTGCTCTAAAAAGGAATAGGTTGAGACTCTCTTGGGGATGACTTCCTGAATCTGTGACCACTATGCTCACCAGAGTAACTCCCCAAAGCCAACAAGATAATGCAAACAACATCCTGATAACTCCGCAGTAGCCACACCAACCCATAGTTTTCTGTGTTCCAGGTAGCATAGAATTACCTACAGTGTTTAGTGTTCCATGATGGAACAGGATCTCTCAATGGTTCCCACAATATTGTGACCCACAAACCTCTCTTCCCTACACCTAATGGCTTGGAGGATTCATTGGTTTCACTAAGGAGTCTAAGAACAATATTCTCTCTCATCTATCTATCTATCTATCTATCTATCTATCTATCTATCTATCTATCTAT